AAAGCTGCCTTTTCAGGGAGACAAAGCGCGGCCATTTCTTCTGCCTTCGATTGATGTCTGAGTTATTTGGGGAGCATTTAGCGAGGAGGGGAGAGGGAAGGGGGGGGGGAAATTCAATGAGAGAGCCTGGGCGATGCTAATAGAGATAACGGCTCTGAAAGGCTCAAGGTTGAGTGCTCGGTGTTTGGTCTGCCCGTCTTTGGCATCCTTCCCCGCTGTTTGGGGGGACATCCACTACGACCCCTCCAGCGGTCTGGGATTACTTGAAGCCAACACCAAGAGCCCCGGGTACCCCTTGGCCAATTCTTTCCAAAGTCGTAGGTGCAGATTACACCACCCTGCTGGGGAGTAGCTGTTGTTGGGCATCCATCTCCCCAACGTGCTGCGAAGAGCAGCACCATGAAGCCTGCGCCACCACCATCCTCCCCTGCCGCGAGCACCTCTTCTTCTGCTTCCTCCCAAATGCAGGAATACACAACGTTTCCATGGGCATGCGACTCCTGCTCTTCCCACTCCATCCCAAATCCCACTCTATCTGCTCCCCACTGTAGTTTCCGGAGGAGACGAGGTCCCCGCCACCAGCGCCCGGGTGCCGCAGCCTCTCCTCTGCTTGACGAGCCTGTTCAACAGCTCACACTCAGTGTGCAGGCAACCCACCGCCTCTCACGTACTCTCTCTTTGAGGGAGAAATGTCAAAAAAATGTAATACTTACTTCTACATTTCTTGTTCCTGCCCAATGGAGTGAAGAGATCCCCAGGTATCCCTGGATAACTCTCCATCCCTGACCCTGCCTTGGTCTCCTGGAGGAAAGGACGAACTAACCCAACTCTACCTACCCCAACCTCTTAGGATTGCAGTGACCCGAACTAGCTCCCACCCTTAACACCAAACATCAGTGATTTACTATAAAATAATCAGCAGTAGGAGGCAGTTCAGAGGCTTCTGAAGACGAGGGAACCCCAAAATCAGAGTAAACTTTAGTGCTGCTCCACCGCCCGTGGTCACACTCCACAAATATCAGCAAAAGCCGTACCCTGAGGTGCAGGGGCCATGGGCTTCCAGGACTCATGCTCTCTGCCAGTCCCAAACCCTGGATGCAGAACTGCCCCGGGATGCCCTGCCCTGGGTAACGCCTGCCCGGGGAGGGTGAGGGGGGCTGGGTGCGTCAGATGGAGATTTAGGATCCAGCTGGAGCTGGGGAGCTGCTTGTGCTCAGGAAGGTACTGCAGGTCTTGGGGCCACTTTGGGATCCTGCAGGAATCCGGCTCTGCCCGGGGACTTTGCTAAGCGCCTTCGCCCTTAATC